CAATTGAGTTTGCCCTATCAGATATGATTGTCAGATTGCTAATACGATCTATGAAATCCCTAAGATGCCCCATAAACCATGTCCATGAATCAGAGGTTTCAGATTTGCCAACCCCGTAAGCTATTGGCAGTATCCCATTGTTAGCATCCATGGCTACTGCTAATAAGTTTACTCCAAGGTATCGACCTTTCAAATGTGCTCCATCAACTATAATAACTAGGCGCATGCAAGTAATAAACGAACGAATCTACAAAATCATATACACAAGAAATATAATCATTTAAATGTGAAATGCATGCAACTAACAAAAATGAGTCAACAAAATTATAATTATTTACTAACCGCAACACCAATGGCGATAAACAACAACTCAAAGCGTTCATCTCTATCTGTTTTGATATGAGTTACCGACCCAGGATTTTTCAGCTTTAAATTGTGACAATAAGCCGGCAGTTGGGAAAACGATGCTTCTGGCGACCCCCTCAACAATTCCAAGGCATAACATTTGGCTCTCCAAGCTTGAGAATATGAGATACTAATCTTGAACCGAGCATTCATGTCAGTCATAATTTCATGTCCCCGATATACCCTTCCATTCAAAAACATTAACTCAGCCAGAAAACTACCCAACACCTTTTTGTTTGCCTGTCTATAGTGAGGAAAAACTTGGGTTCTTGAACATGTATGTTTATCAATAAAAGTCCTAACTTGAAACATTTCGCAATCTTTTATCCTCTTTGCAATCATACACTACGTACAGTTTTTGTCAATCATACACCTTGTTTCGAAACGATCTTTGCTTGATTTGTTAACTCTTAGTTGATAACCATCTTCCACACATTTCGTATACAAAGCTATCTTCAAGTCTTCCTTTGTATCAAAACAATCATCTTTCTTGATACGAATAACTTTTGTGTAACAATCAACTGATATCTTTACCAACTATTCTTCCGGTATCTGAAGTAATTCTGGCATATTCCAGTTATACTCCCGTGGTATTTTCTTTTTTTTCCTTTCTTCGGGGACTTATTCTTCTTCTTCTTCTTCTTTTTCTTTAGGGTTATATGAATTACAGAATGGATGTTCAACATGTTCATTCACAATCGTAACTTCCTCATTATCATCAACAACATCTTCCTCGGCAGTGGCTGTTTCATCATCAAAATTCGGGTATTGACCAATATCAAAATCATTACATGCAGGGTCTGTTTCTTCTTCCATCACATCATCAAAATCCGAGTATTGACCAAGATCAAAGTCCGGGTATTGACCAAGATCAAATTTCGAATACTGACTAGTACTCACAATTTTTTCTGTTGGCTCATAATCGTCTAACTGGTCAATACGAAAACCGGAATTTGGTGCTGAAAGTTGATTGGGATTTGGATTAGGAAAAGGTTGTGAGTTTCGAGATTGTGTTTGATATTGTGTTTGGCATTGGAAATTTGGTGAAACAAAATTTGCTTGGTGATGAAATTGTGGTGGAACCATTAAATTTTGGGTTGAAGAACTTAGTTGATTACTACCCGCTACTGACCCAACTTCACTACTTCTAGGTTCAACAACATACAATGTAACATAATCTTCTTGCGAAACACTAATGTAAGCAATGAATCGTTCAACATCTTCATTGTCGGTTAACAAATAAACTTTACCTTTTCTCAGATAAGATAGCCTAAATCCACTTAGAGGCTCTAAATTCAATTTCTTTGCAACACGTAACATTAGAGTTTCATAAGTTAAATTTTTTAATGGCAGTTTTAGTTGAAGATTCATGGGTAAAGGCACATATTGTAAAACACCATGAACATTCTCCCATGACCCTCTAAAACACAAATCTATCCAAACATGATCAACATTAGATGATTTCATTCTAAAAATTGTAAATTAATTTACTAAACAAACGAGCTATAAACTAGATATCATCACTAACTTAGAAAAAAACATACCTTTATTAAGTTGATAGTTGATAATTTGGGAGAGAAATCATTGAAAAAAAATATAGAAATAAAATTATGTAAAAAAATAGAGATGGGGAAGGATGTCGTTGGATATAGGAACGAATGTCGCCGGATAGAGTGATAGATGGAGATGGAATGAGTTGCGATTTAGGGATTTAGGTTACGAGTTGTTGCTGTTGCGTTGTTATATACCCAAAACATTTGTGTTGCGAAACTAAAACCTGTTGCGAAATTAAATTCGCGTTGCGAAATTGGAAACTGGGTTGCGAAATTGGAGATCGCGTTGCGAATTTGTTGGTCATTTTGGCAAATCCAAAAAAAGTTAGTTAAATTTGTATATTATAAGGTATTTCTGGTCACTGAGGTTATTTTCTCTAAAAAGTAATATATTTTGATTCTGCAATGATCAAGTAATGGAGATTGCATATCGAACCAAGATAATATACAACTATTGATTTGAATTTTATTGATTTGAATTTTATCGATTTTAAGTGAATTTCAAAAAAGAAAAATCCAAATTGCGAATAAGAAAGATGGGATAAAGGAGAATGTTCTAATATCAACTATATTATAAATGATTGTCGGCAAAAGTTGAACGACGATAGGAACACATATCGAGCATGAGAAAAATAAGGGTGAAATATTAGATTAATTTTATAAATAATACTGCCAAAAATACATTTTGGTATTTTCGTTACACAACTAATATTGTGTAACAAAGAAATATAACTTAAAAATTAGACGGTAAAATAAGATTTCTTTTAAAGTTGAATAATAAGAAAAAGGGTAAAATTGAGTGTCTAAATGTGTAATTTTTCTTTTTTAAGTTTTAGGTTTATATCACATATGTATTTTCTCATAATTTTAATATAATTTAAATATTTATCATGTACATAACTTTTTTAATTATAAGTGATTTTAATAATACATCACGATTATAAGGTAATATTTAGTTATTTTTTATTATTGACAACACATATTTTCTTTTACCACCGATATCACTCAATGAGTTATTAATTTTTTTTGAATAGTTTGAGATGATTACATTGTAATATATGTTCATAAGCTGCCCTACAGACGTAACCATTCGAACCCATGACTTCAAAAAATCAAGGGAGAATAATGCTCCATCTAACCACTAAAACTACTAAATGGGTTCAAGTTGTTAGAATTTTTTTAAAGAATTTGATAGTGATAAATGAAGTAATAGAATGATATTGGAATAAATATACTTACATTGGTATACCACAAAAATACTTATTGGTAGCCATTAATTAAATCCATCCACCACCTTCACTTCCTATGCCTTTTATTTTGGAAATGACTGATAACATGTTACTATTCCCTTTAAAATTTGAATAATCCCATAACTGAACAGCAAGATGGTGGTGGACGAAAAGATCCAATTTTCAAATGAAGCATTAATAATCAGTACCATCAATACCGCCATTGTTGAAAGCAGAAAGAAAGTCTAATACTTATATTCAAAGTAGATGTTTAACAAACCAACCATGTGTTCTGGCGGGATCAATTAAATAACCCAAATTGCTTTATTTTTTTAGCAGTTATTGATAACTAGAGTTGGGTATACGGGCTATCCGCCCGTTTAGCCCACGGGTTTTGACGGTGCGGGTCTAAACGGAGCGGTTTAAAAAGCCTACAATCATAAACGATCTTGAATTCTAAGGCCCACAGTCCGTACCATTTAACCCGCGGGCTAAACGGGTTTACCCACGACCCGTTAAATAACAACAATTTTAAATGCTTTAAATGCAATAAAAAATAATATTCTAACTTGCTACACCTTTAAAAATAATCCAACAACTTGAAAAGGAAGATAACAACAAAAGTTTCAATAAGTCTCAAGATAAACAAGTAAATAAATAACACCATAACACTATTAAGTCTCAATAAGTCTAAAATAAATAACATCATAACACCATTAAGTCTCAATAAGTCTAAAATAAATAACATCATAACACCATTAAGTCTCAATATGTCTAAAATAAATAACACCTTTAAGTCTTAATAAGTCTAAAATAAATAACACCATAACACTAATAAGTCTCAATAAGTCTAAATAAAATCAACATCAATAATATTCAATGTTTTTTGAATCCTTTGATGTAGTTGAATCTTCCATTTTTCCAATCACCAGAGACTTGTCCACTTCATCTACAATATAAGAAAAATTATAATATATTAGATAGTTTAAATTTTGAAATCAAAAGTAAATTTATAAAGAAACAATTTTACTAAACATTAGGAATTATAATATTTACCTTCAACCTCAAATCATAACAACCAATTTTTGGTACATATCAAAGATTGGATATTTTCCGGAAGGAGACAACTTCGGTATTTGTTGAGAACACGAGAGCCAATGCTAAATGTCGATTCTGATGCAACAATTGTAATTTGAATGCTCAAAATGTCACATGCCATCAATGCAAGATCTGGAAATCTAAGATGATTCTCCTTCCAATAATGCAAAAGATCAAGACTTGGATGGTAAGTTAAAGAAAGCCTTTGTTCATTTAAATAAGTATCCAATTGAGAAGTTCCTTCTTGTGACAAAAAAACATTCTCAAATTGTAGGAACTCCTATATCATTTACACAAAATTAGAAGTTAGATTAAAAGAAACAACCAACAAATAATTGAAAATCTGAAATAAGTAAATGAAAGTAAAAAGAGACAAAATATAAACTTACATCCACAAGTGCTAGTGACTTTCCTTTAGGCATGCTACTTGGAGTAGATAATTGACGCATTCTATTTTGAATATGATCATTGCTAGTTGACTCTTTCTTAGACATCTTGGAATACTCATGAAAGAGAGAATTCAATTTGTGCTTTCACAATATTCAATTTTGCTTGACAAGAAATTGGATCAAGACCAATCTTTGAATAGGCAAACTTCAAAAATTGCATCTTATAACGAGGATCAGGAATGGTTCAAAGTGCAAGCACATCACTATAATCACTCCAATATTTATCAAACTTCACTTTCATATTGACTACCATTCTTCTAATTGTTTCATCATCATGGGTACTATTTTCTACCAACCAACACTCAATTTTCCACACTTGTGCAAAATATAAATTAGATTTGGATAAGAAGAACCGAACATCAACTCAGTGATAAAAAAGAATGGATGAAAAAACTGACACATTTTTTCTCCTCTTTCCCACTCTTCATGATTAGGGCAATCCTTGTAGTTCACATCTTCAAATGCAAGATTAGTTAAAGAATGTCGATATGCAAGTGCACTTTCAAGCATCAAAAAAGTGGAGTTCCTTCTAGTAGGGACATTTAAACGCAAACCAAGTTTGGTATCAATATCACCCACTTTAACCACACAAGCTTTAAAAAGATTCATTCTTGCCTCTGACGATAAGATTTAGTATGTGAGCACAACATCGAACATGGAAAAATTCTCCACCACATAACAAACCATTATTATTATTCAGAAGTTTATCTTTCAATGTTTCAGCCATTCTACCATTTGCAAATGAATGCAAAGGAAACTTGATGGTTTGGACCTAACCTCTTGACTCAATTTCAAGCTTAATTATTGGAGTTTTGTAATTGAAATAACCAAAAAGGCAAGTTGTTTACAAGAACCTCATGAATTCCAATTGGTCTAATTTGCAAGTACATTGTATTTGAACAAGGAAGCCACAGAAACGACAAGCCTCGTTAAAACACATGGCATCTTATCGGTTTCAAGATTCACTATGCAAAAAAACTTAATCATGCACAACATGACTAAAAAACGTGAATTTTCTTTCGTAAAATATAAAATAAATTAAAAAAAATAATTAAATTAAGCGGATTTCCCGCGTAGCCCGCGGGTATATCCATTAAACCACGGGTTTAACGGTCCGGGCTAATAAGCCCGCAATTTAAATGAGCTTTATTTTTTTAGGCCCGAAGCCCGCACATGTCACGGATTAAACGGGTAACCCGCGAGCCTTAGCTCATATACCCAGCTCTATCGATAACACATACACGTCTTGCATATATATATAACTCAAAATTGGATTAAAAAAAAGGGAGAGAAAAGGAAAATTGGGGATGTTTACCATGCATTATGCAATAACTAAGCAGTAGGGTAAAAAGAGCAATTTCCTACTCAGAAAGCAACAAAACCACGCGGTTTCTACTTTCAAGTTTCAACCCACCAAAACAGCTCTCATGTGCGTCTGCATGCACATACTCCACCCTTTGTATGTACTGATTAAAAAAAAAACTATTTGGGCAATTTGGGTCTGGTCCCCCAATGCCCAAAAGTGGTAGTTAGTTCTAGTTGTAAGCTTCTAACGGTGCCCTTCTAGCTAAACCTTTCTATAAATCCTCCCCTCACCCTCTCCCCATTTCCTCATATTCATCTCAGCTTCCTTCTTCATGTAATCTTCTTATCCCTTTCATGAATGATAGCATTTTGAGCTTATGGTTTTTGCTTGGAAGCTTTAACCAAGTGCTTGAAAAGGGGTTTTAACTTGTTTTGTTTGCAGGGAAATGGGTTTTGCTAAGGTGTTTTTGTTGGGTTTTCTTGCAATGGTGTCTGCTGTTGATGGATATGGTGGTGGTTGGACTAATGCACATGCAACCTTCTATGGTGGGAATGATGCTTCGGGGACGATGGGTATGGGGCACTAAACGAAGCAACCTTTTTCCCAATGGGTGGGCTTGTTTTTGTTTGATTAATTGCTTTGAGTTTTTGGTTTTGCAGGTGGAGCTTGTGGTTATGGAAACTTGTATAGCCAGGGTTATGGGACGAATACTGCGGCTTTGAGCACTGCTCTGTTCAACAATGGGCTGAGCTGTGGGTCCTGCTATGAGATTAAGTGTGTGAATGACGGCAAGTGGTGCCTGCCGGGTTCCATTCTTGTCACGGGCACCAATTTCTGCCCGCCGAACAGTGCTCTGCCGAATAATGCAGGAGGCTGGTGCAACCCTCCCCTGCATCACTTTGACCTTTCTCAGCCTGTTTTCCAACACATTGCTCAATACAGAGCTGGAATTGTGCCTGTTGCTTACAGAAGGTATGTCAAAATTTCATTTTTTTACCCTTTCCTCCAGTAAATGCTTTTGTTTTTACTGCTTCGCAACATCAGTTTGTAACTTTTTGTTGGGTTTTGAAATTTGTAGGGTTGCATGCAAAAGAAAGGGAGGAATCAGGTTCACAATCAATGGCCACTCCTACTTCAACCTGGTCCTCATCACCAACGTCGGCGGCGCCGGTGATGTACACGCGGTGGCCATCAAGGGCTCCAGGACCGGTTGGCAGCCCATGTCTCGGAACTGGGGCCAGAACTGGCAAAGCAACAGCTACCTCAACGGCCAAAGCCTCTCATTTAAGGTCACAACCAGTGATGGCCGTACCGTGGTGTCCTACAAAGTTGCCCCTGCCGGTTGGTCCTTCGGGCAGACCTTCACTGGTGCCCAATTCCGCTAGATTATCTTGAGCTTTTTAATTATTAAATACCACAAATATACAAAGTATTAACTAGCCGGACTTTTAGTATACCTGGCTAGCATACTCTATATCATCTATAGAGCCCTATAATGGGACTCTTGGGGGTCAGAATTGTGAAAGGGCTTACTTTAAAATAGCCCTTTTATCATTTTGGGTTTTTAGTTTTATTGTGGGGTAGTTGTCCTAATTAAAGTAAGATACCCTTTTTTACAAGTATTGTAAGGGTCATTTTTCCTTGTGTTGGAGGAGGTGGACTTTTACCATCCGCCACTTGTATGATTAACCTATTAGGGCCGTTTTTCGCCCATGGGATGTTGAAAAACAGCATCGTTTTGGCTTGTAAGATCAATTTGATCTTATATATGTAGGAGAGTAATCTGTAAAATTTGCAATTACCACTGGTAATGCTGATTTACTATTATTATGTTTCCATGCTCATTTCTATTCTTTGGGGTGATAAAATTACCGAGTGATTGCACAATCTTCAATCCCTCCATGGGTTAAATATTAAAATTACATATAAATTTTAATCAATTGTATAATACGATACATATATAAATATTAAAATAGTAATTATTTATTAATATTACACATATCACTTCAAATATCCTTCACTTATTCATTGTGTTTTTCAAGTTGATTATTAGCGCTAATTTCAAATATAAATTATATATATTTAAAAAAAATTCTTAAAAAGTAAATTATTATACAATATAATTGAACTAATAACTAAAATAAATATAAATTTAAATAAAATGTTTATATGATAAAATAAAAAACTTCAAATTCTCAAAACTAAAACCCTTTGATTTTGAAGCAAGCAAGCGCGAAGTTTCTTAGAAAACTCATTTGTATATAAATTGGAAACCTTAATTTATTAGAAAATTTGTAGGCAATGTTGATAGTTACAGTGCCGCAGAGCTGATATAATGTTGAGTCAGCCACGTGAATTAACTTAACGCCCATTTTTAACCTATCAAATAATCTTAAAAATGTTATTCAAACAATTACATTTATAAAATATATTTTTAATAATTTAAAAAGATTTTATCAATAGAAGTTAACTTAAGTGATAGATAATTTGATATCGTTTCAAGTTCGAAATTTTGCATAGGTAGAAAATTCCAGTCGGAAGACTCACCCATCAACGTAAGATGTACGACATCGGTTGGTCCGGATTAGTCAAAGCAAGAAATTTTTTTTTGAACATATACTACATTACAATCATCTCGACTATTAAAAAAAAGAGTAAAGTATATAAGTGGTCCTCCGACTATAAAAATATTGTTTTGTTGAATTCTCAACTATAAGATGTTACTTTGTTGAGTCTCCGACTATTAAAAATTACAAAAATCATTACAATCATCTCAACTATTAAAAAGGGTAAAGTAAATAAGTGGTTTCCCTGACTATAGGAATACTGTTTTGTTGAGTCCCCGACTATAAGGTGTTATTTTGTTAAGTCTTACGATTATTCATATATTTCAAATTCATCATTTTCCGTAAAAAACTTGACAACAGTTTAAGTTAAACGTTAATATATTAGCTCATTTTATAATTTTTAATACTTTAATGATTTAATAAAATAACGTCTTATAATCAGATGATCGTTTATATACTAAAAAAAAAATCTTAACGCTCATTTCTCCTCCTCCACGTCTCTCACACCATCACTATCTTCCCTCCTTTATCTTATATCTTTATAATTATCATTAACTTTTAATTTTTTATACTTTTTATATTTAATTTATTAATTAATTGATTTAAATTATATATTTTATTATAAAATAGATTCTTTTAATTTAAATTATTTTATTTACAATATAAAAAATTAAGGAATATTTCAAAAAAATTATTAATTGATCGAATAATCAAATATATTCATATTATCTCATTTTATATGAATTTGAACCTTACATTTATAAATTATAATATATATACTTAATCAAAAAAATTATTAATTAAAGAATTAAGTGTTTATGAATGTATAATTAAATAATTGTCATCTGAATTTATACACAATAATGTAATAATTACATATTTTATAAAAAAAAAATTGACACACTGGCTTTAATTTTCAATAATTCGGTTCTCATCTCCTTCACCGATTGCATGGCTAATTTTCAGGAATCTGGACGCCATTTTTTTTTCTTCCGGCCCCAAATGTCCGTCATTGTTTGTCAGTCACCTCCTGGTAGTTAACATGTCAAAGTTTGTGTCTTTGTACTGGTAATATCAAGGATGAAGAGTTTTAAGAGCGGAGACGAAGCCTTCCCCATCACCATCACCTGCTACCAAATCTGTCTGGGTTCAAAAGGTCTTGAATTAGTTTCAATGGCGAGATTTCACGAACAAGAAGATAATCCAAGACTTTTACATCCCCTGTGATACACCTTCGATTTGTGGGCTCAAAATAGGACATTGAATTTAATTACATTGAAAGCTCAGCTCAATCCACATTGCACACTGAAAGAAATTACTCAACTTTTTTCCTTTTTTTCCCTTTTTTTCTTTTTAATTTATAAAAGGGTCCAATTGGACAAGTATCAATCTTACATTTTCATTGTATATCAATACACATATATATATATCTATGTATTATTTCTCATTCTGGTATTGTAATATATCAATACACATATATATCTATGTATGAAGTAGTGGGGTGACATGCAAACGTTACTCAAGAAACGAAAGCATAGTAAGAGTAAAGAGGGGGGGGAGGGGGGAGACTTACTCGGGAATACAATGGCTCATCGAACATGGTAACGGCACAGGGGCCAGACGTGGAAGCCCAACTACCTGGGGTAGTGTCGTATCCAGTTCCGGTACCTTGTTCAACACCATTAACATGATACTCTGAAGGAGTTTCATGAAAATTCATCTCTGCGACAGGAGGGGCATCATTCAGTATATTAAGATTGTACGAGAAGAAGGGGCATTGTCCACCCATTTGCAGCTGCAACGATCTGTTTCCGCTCAAATCATTCAGGACGCCATTTTCTTGTCCAGAACTTGATAGCTCGGAACTTTTACCGGTGCCAAAGTAACCCGAATAACTTCCAAAGGAGGAACTTGCAGAACCCTGCACATCTCTGGTACTATAATACATTGTCAAAGGTCACTTCCATTAACTTGTACGCTTAACAAAACAAAATAAGTAGGAACTGATAATAATCTGTCATGCTACTTGTGATCTACATTATATACCAACATCTTCGTCTCATGTTTTACAAAATATTTCTAGAAAACCTACTCACCTGTGGGGAATCAAATTCAGGTCCTCTGACAAGGCCATATGTCTACTGTCATGATTAGGCATCCATGCAAGATTTTGGAGCTGTTGTTCAATGCCCATTCTATAGGGTACCTGCATTTCATTTTGGAACTGCAAGAGAAAGACTTGTTAAGATACTATATTCTCTAGTGACTTTTAAGGAGTAAATGAAGCAGTAAAATACTCCAAGCGTATCACACATTCTTACCTGACTTGTGCATTCTAATGACAGAAGCTGCTGCTGCTTTCCTAAATTTTCCTGCCAAAAGAAGGTAGATAAGGTAGGAGTCTCTAGTGTACAAACATATTTGGCACTCATTGTTTAATCTTTCAGAGGGAGGATGACAAGTTCGTGTTGTTTCCAGTGGCACTCGTCAGTTCACGTTGCACAGCAAATTACTATTTAATCTTCCACACATGCCCCTTGGGAGGGCACTCTATCATTTTCTATGAAAAAATATAACTACACAGGAACATGGCATACCTTACGGGATTGAATTTGATTTAGAGATTCTTTGAGTGAATCCTCCATTTGCCCCAATTGTTCTACATTGTTGATCTTGTCTATGTTAGTCCAACAGCTGAGAAGCCAATACTAATATTAGCAAAAGTCAACAGATAGCATATTTACCGGATTATGATAACACAAAAAACTAAAACTCCACATCTCACCTTAATCTCCTGTGTACTTCAGAAAGTCGAGTCTGTAATAATCTTGCTTGGTTAGTCAGGTCCTGCATATAGAAATCACAGAGATATCAAAAAGCATGTTAGAATGAAGATTAAAATGGTCTAGGTATTTTAAATTCTCATTATCCACCAAGGTAACAAGTCACATCCATACATACCTCTATTGTTTGTGTGCTGGGGAAAAAGGGGAAAAAAAGAAGTCATAATACTATCAGAAATATATTGTAGAATTTAAGTAAATGAATGAACTTTTCTAGGAGACGTTTCTGCTAAGAAGAAGATCAATGTGCACCTTGTAGCCAGATATTCATGAATATTTACATCATGGTCCAACTTCTTGAATGTTTTTTTCAGTGCCTAGACTCTCGAAGAGAAAAGAAACTATGTAATTGATAAGAATGACGATGTTTCGTGCGCACACAAAATGATAAAAAGCAAACAAAGATCTTAACATTCTAAAGAGAGTGGGTTTAGGAAACGACTTACTTCAAGGCTTTCCAACTTCCTGTTACAGTAAAAATAGGAATGAAAATGCCAGTAAATTTCATTTCAGTAAGTACAACTGTTAAGCATGAAAGATAAGTGTGATCATTGACTCAGAAAATGCAACCACACCTTTTGGCCCGTTCCTGTGGAGTGAGTTGAGCGAACTTTTCAATGATCTCCTCAATGCTGCATGATTCACACAGCAGAATTAAATAAATGAATGTGGCTACCATACATGTTAGCCTTCTCTATATATATGTATGTACAAAAAGTTTATCAGTGGTGTGCGAGCAGATCTTAAGGAAACTCTGAAATTCCTCCATATTAGTAACATGTCTGGAGGCATCGTCTACTTCACTATCTTATAATATGCTGCACACACCTTAGCATATCTTGTAACTATCATGCGTCTCTCTAAGGCAAAACTAAATTATAGCAACTACTTTATTCTGTATATGTGAACACTCCCTCAAGAACAATAACAAATATTTAATCACTTCCTAATTATCAACATTGAGATAAAATTATCAACATTGTAAAGTATAAGCCAACATCTGAGTTGATATTCATTATTAAACAGTTTATGCCAATGCTTCACCAAATAGAACATCACCAATGGCTTGCAAACACAATACTAATCCAATTCGAGGAGTTATCTATCAATCATCTTCAAAGCTAAGTATATGCATAAGAAAATGGTGATAATGAAAGGGTTACTTGCGCTTCCCAATGCATAAGGAAGGCTTGTTAGTTGGGGAGAACATAAGGAGGACAATCTCTACATCACATAGGATAGATAGCTCATTAGCCTTTTTCATGATGCCATGCTTCCTTTTGGCATAGGTCGCCTGACGGCCATTTGGGTTCTCTAACTTCTTTATCTTTAGCTTAACCCTTCCCATCCTGCATAATCAAAATCTCAGAATTTATGCGATGAAAATAATCAAAACACTTGCTTTGGCACAACTGGGGAT